CACATGTGAATAAGATTCACATGGCACCAAACTGTGCAATGTGTGTTAATAATATCAAGCAGTCAGATTAGTAAATCAAGAACCATTCTCATCTTAATTTTTAAGATACCTCCAGTAGCACATTCCAAAATCATTATTATGAACACAACTGTCAGGGCAAAAAATTTGCGCTGACAGTAATGAAGTAATTATCAAAGCATCATGCATGAAACATTAATCCAACTTTCTTCTTCAGATCACTGATTTGCTTTGTACTCCAACACTTTTTGTTGTGATGTTTTGACCCCCGAGTGAAAGGAGCACTACTTCAAATTACCAACAAACTATTCTCATTGTATAATTGGCCTGAGAGGATACCTATAAAATCTGATAAGTAGCAGTAACAAGATTTCTTTCTAAAATGTTGGAGGAGAATATAACTTTCACATGTAGGCAATCATGCCAATTATATACCTTGAACAGTACCAATTGCTGTACAAACTCAACTGGTAGATCACAGCTCTGAAACAAGTTTACAAATAATAGTTGCATTTCATAAGAAAGTCATCGCAGTGATACTAATGCCGTCTGCTCATAAATCAGCATCTATGAATAGGTCTCATGTTTATGTTGGTTAAATCATATCAAATATATGAAATACTGCAGGTGGAGAGAATAATCCAGAATTAGCAAAACATGCCTAACCAGACTCTATCATGATCTGCAATTTTTATGAACTAATTTGACCAACGAGAAACCAAATTTATTTGTAACATTAAGGTCAATCTTCAAGTTCGAAATCTATTAAAAAAAATGTGAAGATCAAGCGGGGAAAAAAGCTATTATTATCTTTCTTAGTTTTGATCAGGTACTCTATCATAGTACTTAAGAACAAAGTCAACGCAGTTGACTTACCCGAATAACACTTCCAACATGATTTTGTTGAATTATGATGTTAGCTAATTCAGTGATGTTGATACTAGCCTTGAGAAATAACTGCGAAAGGAACAACAATGAAATACAGCATTAAAACTGTTGTAAATTGGCACTAAATTAGCCACACAAAACCTACATCTAAAAAAATCTCACATTTTCCAAGTTACCTGTTGTAACAGTCTCTTGATTCCATTATGATCATTGTCAGATATGGCATGCGCTTCAAAATCTACTTGCACTTCCTGCAGAATAGAAATATTTGTAAACATATGCAGGCATTAACACCATAGATCGTGGGACACCACTGGCAAAGTCAGTATTGTTTACCCTATCTGTAATTACCAAGGTGGTGGCAAGATGCCACCTTGCACTACTGTGGTTACATAGGGGGCTCTAGTATTTACCACCGTGACAGTAAAAGAATGAATACGTATTTTCAACACAAGCAACTTGAAAATGCGACCAATTTGGCAAATGAGTTTGGGAAGTTGAGAAGGAACCTTGGTGAATGGCTGCAGTGTATTTTGCAACACAGAGATGGTGAATCGAGTGATTAAGGTGGAGGTGATCCTAATCAATTGGGCTCTCTCACCTTTCTTGCCCCCTCCTTTTCTTCCCTTCCTCCAATTTCTTGTCCCCTTCCCTGTCTTACCATCCTCCAACTCTTGCCCCCTGCCCAACTACCCTCTCCTCCGTCCCACTTCCCTTTCCCATTTCCCTCAAACCACCCAGTCTCCACTACTCCATCTTATCTATCCCGACCTTTTCCTTTCCCACTCTGTCCATATCCATCTCTCTCACTCTTGAAAAGAGACAGATAAGTTCTTGATTAGTAAAGGGATGAAAGGTTATGGTGGGGATAATACAGTGTGGAAGTGGAGGAACACAGGGAGCCAGGCAGCATCAGAGCAGCAGGAAAGTTGTTCCTCTGATGCTGCCTGGTCTGCTGTGTTCCTCCAGCTGCACACTGTATTGTCGCTGACGCCAACATCTGCAGTTCTTGCTATCTCTTATGGTGGAGATGGGGATGGGGAGAACAGAAGGCAGGAGAATGGGATTGAGAAAGACATCAGCCATGTTGGAGAAGATTCGATGGACTGAATGGCCTAGTTCACCTCCTATATCTTACAGTCTCCCTCACTCTCTGTACTCCCCATCCCCCCCCAAGTGGTTGCTCGCGCTCGGGTTCTAACCCCGTCTCGCGGGCGGTGACGGTTGGGTCGGCCGTTATTTTTCTCACTTGCTGTATTTCCGGCTCCGATTCTTCGCTGCTGTCCCCGGACTCTTCCTCCGTTCCACTTCCCCCCGACTCCTCTACTGCCGGGTCCAGCTGCCGCCGTTTGGCCGAAGACGCCATCTTCCAGAGCGCAGCGTCAGCGGAACTACACTCCCCGGGGGCCTCTTCCACAGCCGGAAATCATTGCTCTAAACCGTGACAACCATTCCCACTTGCCGCGAAAATCATCTTTGATTCCGTATCGTGTGAAGTGTGAAGAAACGCCTCTTTTTGTGAGTGTCAGATTAAAGCTGCCGTTGGGTGCAGGGAGCACTCGGCGCTGCCCACTCATGACCTTCGACCCCAGAGCGGGCGGCCTGCGGTGACGTCATCGGTGGGAACTCCTTGGCAGTGAGTGAGAAATAAATCTACAGTATTGTAAATATAGGGCGGATCTGGAATAGTGGGAGAGGGGGAACAGGAATAGAGAGGAGATTTCTGAAGAAGGGTCCACACCCGAAACGTCATGCTTTCCTACTCGTCTGATGCTGCCTGGCCTGCTGTGTTCATCCAGCTCCACACCTTGTTATCCTCGGAATAGAGAGCAACTGGGATATAGGGAGGACTGGAATATGGGGGTGGTGGGACCATGGAATGTAGTGGTTTGGAATAGAAAGGAATCTGGAAAATGGGAGTACGGGAATAGAGGAGGACTGGAAATATAGGGGGGGGGATTTGGAATGTAGGTGGTACTGAACATAGGGAGTAACTTGAATGTAGGGGACTGAAATAGAAGAGAGGATCTGGAATATAGGGGGACTAGAATGTAGGGTTAATCTGAAATACAGAGAGGGACTGGAATAAATTAGGGATTTGAAAAGTAGTTGGGGAAACTGGAATATAGCAGGATTAGAATACAGGGTGGATCTGGAATCTAGGGGTTTACTGAAATATGGGGGGATCTGGAGTGCAGAGAGATACTGGAATATTGGGGACTGAATATAGAGAAGTACTGGAACATAGTAGGAACTGGAATAGAGTGGGGATCTAAGGAAGGACTGAAATAAAGGGGGAATCTGGAATAAAGGTGTAGGGACGCGTATATTGGAGTTGAGAATATAGGGTGGATCTGGAATTTGGCAAGGACTGAAACATTGGGGACTGGAACGTAGGGCCATCTGGGATATAGAGAAGTACTGGAATATAGGGGACTGAATATAGGGAAGCACTGGAACATAGTAGAAACAGGAATAGAGAGGGGATCTGGTATAAAGTGGGGAGTTGGAATATAATTGTGGGGACTGGAATATGGGGGATGAGAATATAGGGTGGATGTGGAATACAGGGAGGGACTGAAATGTAGGGGGGATCTGGATTATAGGTAGGGACTGGACTCTTGGTAGGCGGAACTGAAATATAGAGGGCATCTGGAATGTAAGGGAGACTGAACATAGGGTGTCACTGAAATATAGTGGACTCAGATATAAGGGCAGATCTGGAATATAGAGAGGGTTGAAATATTGGGGGAGTCTGGATTATAGGGGTGGATCTGGAAAATGGGGCGGGTCTGGAATTTAGAGGAATCTTCGGAATATGGGGTACGATTTGGAATATGTAGGGGTCTGGATATAGGAAGGAGTCTGGAAATGGTGGGGACTGGAATATAGGGAGTGGTCTGGAATATCATGAAGGGGCCTGGATTATAGGGAGGGGATGTGTAATATAGGGGTGTCTGGAATATGTGGGAGTGTCTGGAATGTCAAGGGGAGGGGTAGTCTGGAATACTATCGAGGCGATCTGGAATATAGTTGCAGAAGGAATATAATCGGCACAGTCTGAAATCTAGGGAGCACAGGCAGGATGCAGTATGTGGTAGAGAGAGCAAACTAATATAGGGATCAATCTAAAATGCAGGGAGAGGGATAGTGTGACGTATGCAGAGAAATACAGAGATCCACCTACAATGCAGAGATGGGACAGTATGAAATATATAGGTACCTTTTGTTAATAAAGAGAGAGACTTCTGGAATATAAAGGTCCCTTTTGTAATATAAAAAGAAACCGCCTGTAATATAGAGATCCTTCTTACATAGAGAGGGACAGTCTGAATTATAAAGATACATTTGAAATACAGGGAGGGATGGTCTAAAATATGTAGGGAGAAGGACAGTCCAAAATGTACAGTGACCATCAAATACATAGTCAATGATAGTAAGTAATTTAAAGAGTGAGTGATAATCTCTGGGTATATAGCTGACACTCAGAAGGACTATCTGAAATATGCAGAAAGTGTCAGATATACATAGAGATGGATAGTCTGAAGTACATACATAGTGACAGTTAGAAATATAGAGAGTGACAATACTCAGAGCACCAGTCTGAAATATGCAAAAAGCTACAGTCAGAAATGTAGACAATGTGACAGTTCAAAATGATCAAAGGAGTAGAAAATCATAGAATCCCTACAGTGGAAACAGGCCCTTCGGCCCAACAGATCCACACCGACCCTCAGAGCATCCCACCCAGACCCATCCCCCTAATCTACACATCCCTGAACACTATGGGCAATTTAGCATGGCCAATCCACTTACCCTGCACATCTTTGGACTGTGGGAGGAAACCCATGCAGACACGGGGAGAATGTGCAAACTCCACACAGACAGTCACCCGAGGTTGGAATCGAACCCCGGCCCCTGGCGCTGTGAGGCAGCAGTGCTGACCACTGAGCATCCGTGTAGAAACATTGACATAGAACCATAGAAAAAAGGAGCCAGAATAGGCCGCTCAGCCCTTCGAGCCTGCTGTGCCATTCAGAATAATCATGGCTGATGATCCAAATCGATACCTTGTTCCTGCCTTTGCCCCATATCCTTTGATCCATTTATAGTTGACAGTGAAACAAAGTGACAGAAATGTACAGTCAGAAACACAGAGAGAGTCTGGAGGCAATTCCAGAGAGAGGCCATGGAGGGATTTGAAAAGGTTTCGAATTTTAAAACTTAGGAGTAGTTTGACCAGAAGCAAGTACAATTTGGCAAATAAAGGATTGATGAGTGAATAAGACTAATGCAAGAACACTGCAGAATTTTGGATGAGCTTAAGATTTTGGAATGTGGAAAGGAAGCCAGGAGCTTTTTAGACTAGTCGAGTCTAGAAATAACAAAAGTGTGGATCAGTGTGCCAGCAGATGCACTGAGGTAGTGGTGATGCTATGGAGTTAGAAATCAGACAGTCTTGGTGATGGCAGATATATAGTCTGAAACCTGTATTGAGGTCAGATATTCTGCTAATGTTATGAATAATTTGGTTCAGCTTCAGACAGTTGCCGTGGAGCGTGATGAAATGGAATTTGTGGTAGTGACTGAAGACAATGGTTTCAATCTTCCCAATATTTAATTGGAAGTGATTTCTGTTGTTAGATGTCAGACAACTAGACTGATAATTTAGAAACAGTGAAAGAATCAAGAGAATGAGAAGTGACAGACTGAGAGAGAGGTACATATCAGGTGAGTGGTACAAGGATAAAACAGTATGAATTTCAGTTACATATAGAGCCGCATAAACTGAGTGACACCTATCTAGCAGAAGACTGACGCCCAGCTACATACTGAGTAAGAGTGACAGTTAACTATTGAACTACAGGTGCTTACAGAATATCACATTGACAAAGGCATGCAAAGGGACTGTATGTTGAGTGACTGAGATATGTACAAAGTAGGAAATGACACTGAGTGGCATAAAGTACTCTGAATGAGCAACAGAAAGATCAATATTCATATACACAAAGCGAACCACAGAGAGAAGCATTGCAAGATATGGTCTGAATTTTACATGCACCTCCTGGGCGTGTTTTTGGCAGAGTGGACATGTAAATTTGGATGGGTGCCAACCTCACCACCTTCCCACCCATCTCTGAGCTCACTCCCATACCGTGGTCGGTGGACAGGAGCCAAAGTGACTTCTGGAGCTGTCAGTTAATCAGGTTGGTCAGCAGCTTCAAGAGGTGGGACCTCTCCCCAGCGATGGGTAGCTACCGCAGTCTCCTCCACCAATTCAATTGATACACCAGCACTAATAATCACGCTATGAATAAGAAATCAAGATCTTGGATATGGGTCTGGCATTGTTGCTGCTCCAAAAAGCTGCATTAACCTGAACCGAAATGAACTTATTAAACACTATAGTGCTGAATTAACTATTTTACTGGTACTCCTATCTAGCAAAGCATTTGGATCATTTCAAAAAGGAGCTTAGTGGCAGCTGCAATGTTAGCCATCAACAACCAAGGAAAGGCTATTAGCCTCATGACTAATGAGTTCTTATTGTTGGAAAGTTTAAGAATGTAATTTTTCACGTTGCAACTTGTATTCAAGCTGGGAAAAAGTTAGAATAAATATAATGGATATAGCTCCCAGGCTATAAATTAAATCCCCAAACCAAAACAGTGCTTCTTGAATTGCCTGCACCAAATTATTAATAGAAACTTGCTGTTAAGTACCATAGTCACATCACCTTAATTCAAATTGACATCTTGAAGTGTCATTCTATAGAATTAGTGAGATTTGTGCATGTATCCTACACCAACTTCCAGGATGCTTTGTTGTTGTTGGCCACATTGTGGGCAGGTAAAGGTGAATCAAATATATAGTAGCCACAGTGAAAACAGCATATGGCGTTGCATTATCTGGCATGAAGAAACACAGTATGTGGATTGACTGAGAAATAGATAAAAATATTGATGTGGGACAACATTTCAAGTTACTTTTTTTTGAGATTGGTGACAGATTCAGGTACAATTAGGTACACAGAATAAGCACACAGATAAAACACACAGTGAGCTGGATTTTACTCCCCAAAACAGGTCTGGAACATATGACAATAGGAACATTGGAGCCCCTCAAACCTGTTCTGCTATTTCAGATAATAGCTGATCATCTATCTCAATCCCATATTCTCACACTTTCTCCCAATTCCTACGTGTCACTAGTAACTAGAAATCTATCAATCCCTGTCTTTAATTTACTTAAAGACTGAACTTCTCCACCCTCTAAGGTGGAGAATTCCAAAGATTCACCACCCTCCAGGTCAAGAAATTTCTTCTCATCTCAATCCTAAGTGGTTTGGCTTTTATTCTGAGGCAACATCCGCTGGATTGAGACCTCGAGAAACATCTTTTCTACTTCACACCTGTCGATCCCTTTAAGAATTTTGTAAGTACCTAGCAGATCACCTCTCAGTCTTCTAAACTCCAGAGAATGCAGGCCCAGTCTGCTCAATCCCTCCTCATCGGACAGTCTTAGCATCCCATAAACCAATCTGGTAAACCTTACTGTAATCCTATGCCAAGAGGATCAGAACTGTGTACAATACTCTAGTGGTCTCACCAGTTTTCTGTACACTGAACAAGACTCCTTAACTCCTGTGCTCACATTCTCTTGTGATAAAGACCAACAGTCGATTTGCTTTCTGAATTGCTTGCTGCAGATGCATACTAGCTTTCAGTGAGCTATGATCAAGGACATCTAGGTCTTTTTAGATTTCAACATTTTCCAATCACTCACCATTAATGCAATATTCTGTACCTTTGTTCCTCCTACCAAAGTGGATAAACTCTTACATATCAATGTTATATTCCATCTGCCATGCTCTTGTGTACGGATTCAGTCTAAATTTCCTAAAGCCTCATTGCCTCCCCCTCACAGCTCACATTCCCATTTGAATCATTTGCAAACTTGAAATATTATAATTGGTCCCCAGATCATTGATACAGATTATGAACAGCTGGGGCCTAAGCAATGAGATACCCTACCAACTTGAGAATGAACCATTCATTCCTACTGTCAGCTTTCTGTGTGTTAACCAATATTTAATCATTGGTGCACAATATCTCTAGTGTCATGCACTTTAATCTTGTTTGCAACTTCCTATGTGAGACTTTATCAAAGGTCTTCTGAAAATCCAAATACACCATAACCACTTGTTATCTGCTAGTAGCATCATCAAAATCTCCATCACATTTGTCAAATCTGATTTCCCCTTCATAAATCTATGTTGACTCTGTCCAATCAGACAATCGTTTTCTAAATACCTAGTAAAAACATTTTTTAAAACAGAGTCTAGTATTTTACCTGCTACTGGTGCAAACTAATAAAGCTGTGATGTTTTCCCTCTCCTTTCTTTCTTAAATAGTCTGGTTAAGTTTTCAATCTTCCAATCTGTAGGCACCATTGCAGAATTAGCAGAATTTTTAAAAAGTAATCACTAATGCATCTACTATCTCTCTAGGTATCTCTTTGAAGGTCATTGGGCCCCAGGGGTTTGTCAACTCTCAGTCCGATTAATTTCCAAAATACTATAATTTTACTAACACTAATTTCTTTCAGTTCTACAATTGGTCACTGGACTTCTGGATCTTCATTATTTCAGGGAAACTTCTTTTGCCTTCTTCTGTAAAGACAGACAAAAAGTACTTATTTGGTTTCTCTGTCATTTCTGTCTTGTTTATAAATTCATCTGTCTCTGACTATAATGGACTCCCATTTGTCTTCACTAATCGTTTCCTTTTTACTTATCTTCAAAGGATTTTACAATCTGTTTTATGTTTCTTGCTACTTACATTCATTCCATTCTCTGTTTTTGTAACAATTTCTTTGTCCTTCTTTGCTGAATTGTAAAATTCTCCAAATCTTCAGGTTTGCAATTATTGTTGGCAATTTTATAAGGTTCCTCCTACAATTAACTTGCCTTGCTATCCCTGCCACTTCTGGTTTCTGTCAAGGTAGGAAGTGTGTAAAATCAAGCAGTTGATCTTTCGGCCACCTCATGACATTTCTAAAATTTTACTGTTGGGGAGACATCTGCTGTCCACCTGCCCTTGGGCCTTTTGAGGATTCCTCTGCCATTATTATTTCACCTGTACTAGGGGAGGCTGACATCATGTGGGAAACCCAGTAAGCTTTAATTGCATAGGCTGGTGTCAGGCAAGGAGTACAGTTGAAGGGGTTGTGGAGAACTCCATTGCAAGTCCTCTAGGCCAACCCCATGTATCATCTGATCCCTGGTCTCATGAACCCAGCCTCCCAACCACCTCACTCCCTCACTGAGATCCCCAACTCCAGAATTACCAGGACTCTTCAACATGATATGACTGTCCATAGCAATAGCATTGGCCAGTATGCCCAGCTGGTGTTGCTTAGTCTACAGAGCTACTGATTGGCCAATACCTTTCCTCCTGAGAAACCAAAAGAAGTCTCACTTTAAAGCAATTAACCCTGCTTCCAGTGTTAATTTGCTGTGGGACAACCATCAAGATCATTAGTGGGCTCCCCATCCATCTACTTTTTAGCTGAGGATGCAGAGACTGGTGCCCTGTAAAATCCAAGAAACAGTGAGAAAAGAACAGAGCATGATCAAGTACATGTAGAATGAATGGACAGAAATAAATACACACAGGAAATGGAAGTAATTGTGTGAGGTACAGTAAGTGAAAGCAAAGGAATTGATAGAAAAGGTGTGACAAACTTAAAATGAGGAATGCACTGTAGAAACATGAATCTCCAGTATCTCATTAAGTATGTTGCCATAACATCAAACAACAGTACAGTTGAGAAAAATTCAAGATTCAATGCCCAGTACGTGGCTGACAAGATGGAATTGAGTGAGTTACAAATATCCTCACCATTCCTAGGCAAGTGAAAATTTAGCCGAAGACACAGACTTAACTAACACAAGTTTTGTCAAACCGGCATATTCAAATAATTAAATATTACATCTTCACCCCATTGACAATGATACTAAGAAACATTGGTATGGTATTTAGCAGTATTCATCTAACCTGTGTGTTAAATGCTTTATTAATTGCAGTAATGGATTCGAATATACACTATGTATTGTACAATTATTTCTTCATACATTTGCTACATTTTGCTTTTTATACCCAGCCACCTCTTTGAGTGTCTGAAGCAACATTTCCTAGAAAGATGAGATGGAGACAGAAACTAGTGTTAACAAAAAAGTCTTATCGTAAAAAAAAATTTGTTGAAGTGGGTAGTTCACAGACAGCAGTGTAAATCTTTATCATTTGAATTTGAATGAAACCCTTAGATATTGTTATCCAATCCTTAAAACAGGGCGTTGCTGCAAAATGGAGGCATCGTTGACTATTTGACACACTTATCTTGTTATACAAAATGTGTGTCTGTACATTTCAGTTTACAGTCCTGCGCACCAAGCAATTTAGTTATTTGTAATCCTATTGATGTTAGCAATTCTGACGAAGTGTGAGAAATGAAAGTCCTTTTGCTTAAAGAACCCAAAGAAGGAGAATTGGGACCTGATCCTTATGTTCAGGTAAGTGGCCGGGAAAATGTTACTTTTGATCTTTTATATCTCTATAATTCTTCAAATGTTATTGTATGCAAATACTTATTCAAAATAATACAGATTTTTATAAATACAACCTTAATGCAAAACATCTTGATTAATCAATGTATATCTAATGTACTTTTGGAGGAGACATTTTGCGTGCAAGATTTTACTTGAATAACGACAGTGTAAGCTCAATTATGCAGTTTTATATGAAAAGGAATGAGAATTTCTATCGCATAATCAAATTTGAATTGTTTTTGTTATCAGGAGTTTATTTCACATGGCCTTCAAGCAACTTTAATTCCTGTTTTGTCATTTGAATTTATATCGCTTCAGGACTTATCAAAGAAGGTAAAATTTTTAATAATTATTGACTTTGTGTTAGTTTTCAGATACTAAAATGCAAGTGATTTGAAATTATAACACAATACCCACTAAAGTTGTCATGTTGTGACCAGCAGAAGTTGTATTAGAGTTTGTAAATTTGAAATGATTTGAAGAATTACTTTATGCACTTTGGTAGGAAGAATAGAAAGGTTGGAATATTACGTAACTTTGGAAAGACTGCAGAGAGCTGCAGCACAGAGGATTTGGGGGTCCTATTGTATGACTCACTAAAATCTAGCATTCGGTTTAGCAGATAATAAAGAAGGCAAATGGAATTTTGGCCTTTATTCCAAAGGGAATGAAGTATAAAAATAAGTCTTGCTAAAACAATATAAGGCACTAGTCAGACAGAGCCTAAATACTGTGAACAGTTTTGTTCTCCTTATCTAAGAAAAGATATATTGACATTGGAGTCAGTCCTAAGAAGGCTTATTAGTTTGATCCTGGGTGTGGAGAGATTTTTCTCATAAGGAGAGATTCAGTAAGTTGGGCTTGTTCTCAATGAAGTTTAGAAGAATGAGAAGAGACCTTATTCAAACATATAAAATTATTACAGGGCTTGACAAGGTAGACGTGGAGAGGTTGCTTCCCCTTGTGGGAAAGTTAAACTAAAGGACATCGTCTCAGAGTAAGGGGTCATCCAGTTAGAACTGAGATGAGGAGGAACTTCTAATCTCCGACTACTAAATCTGTGGGATTCTTTACTGCAGAATGCTGTCAATCCTGGTTTAATAAGTATATTCATGATATAGACGGATTTCTGATTATTAAGGGAAAAAAGTCCGTTTGACCCAATGTGCCTGTGAAAACGAATAAAAGCTATCCACTCTAACCCATGTTTGAGCTCTTGGTTCATAGCTATGTAATTTACAGTGCCTCGTGCATGTCCAAATATTTTGCAAATGCAATTAGGGTTCTTTTAACCACCCTTTCAGAAAGTTAGTTTGAGGATCCCACCGTGATTTTGTTGAAATAAAGTACTCCTAAACCCTCCCTTACTCCTTATGCTAGTCACGTTAAACCTATGCATCTTGGTTGTTAACCTCCATGCCAGCAGAAATTGGTCCTTACTATTCACTTTGTCTAGGCTCCTCATAATATTATCTACTTCAACTAATACTCTCCTCAGCCTCATCTGTTGAAATGAAACAACTCGAGTGTATCTAATCTTTCCTCATCATTAAAAAGCTCCATACTGGCAACATCTTTGTAAACCTCCACTTGCCCTCTCAAGAATGATCTTTCCTGTAATCCAGTGACCAAAGCTGTATGCAAGTCTCTAGCTATGGTCTAACTAGTGTTTTATACAGTTCAAATGTAATCTCCCTGTTCTTGTACTGTAGGCCGAATGTAAAGTTTTGTATACTTCCTGTAAACTGTGCTCAACTACCCTGTTAGTCAATGTGCAATGAACTAAATACTTGTACTTTTACCTTGAGGTCTGGATAGTTCAGCATTTTACAATGCATTTTTCTATGCAAAAAGTCTATTTTTGAAGACTATAACATTTTAAAATATATCAGAGTAAAAACAATTTTCCATGGGATACATTAATTTTATTTGTATTTATATTATATTTATATTTGTTTCATTCTTTTTGATAAAGTTCAGTGCTGTACATTTTACATCAAATTTGTACAATACTTTAGTCTCTAGTCATATGTAGCTAATCGGGATTCCAGATAAGCCAATTGGATTTCAGATTACTAAATATAAAATGAGTACGAGATGCCATTGTTGTGCATATCAGTGCCGTATTCATTCTTATAATATACTTTTGGGTACTTTTACATTTTTGTTAATTTGTTGTCAACAATACGAAAAAACACTTTTTTTCTTCATTTCTCAAATGAGGAAGAATATAATTCTTTGTCATTAGCAAGAATTAATGCAATTCTTTGAACTTTTCCTTTCCTCACATCACTGCTGTATGTCCTTGGTTCATGAATGCTAGAGACATTAATTAAATAAACATGTAAATGACATACCAATAACCAGTGGAGAGAAAGCAAGCTGACGTTTCGAGTCTAGATGACTCTTCATCAGAGCTCTTTCTTAGCTTGCTTTCTGTCCATGGATGTTGTCTAACCAGCTGTGATCTCCAGCATTTTTTATTTTTAGTACAGATTCTGACATCTGCAGTTATTTGCTCATACACTTACAAATATCGTGCAAGTTGAATCATAGAATCTCTACATTGTGGAAGCAGGCCATTCGGCCCATCAAATCCACACTGACCCCTATGAAGAGCATCCCACCCAGACCCATTGCCCTAATCTACCCCTGTAACCCTGCATTTCTCATGGCTAATCCACCTAGCCTACACATCCCTGGACACTATGGGGCAATTTAACACAGCCAGTCCACCTAATCCGCACATCTTTGGACCATGGGAAGAAACCAGAGCACCCAAAGGAAACCCACGCAGACACAGGGAGAATGTACAAACTCCACACAGACAGTTGCCTGAGGGTGGAATCAAACCCAGGTCCCCGGCGTTGTGAGGCAGTAGTGCTAACCACTGAACCACCATATCTTTTCTCCTAAAGTTAGTACATGTACTAAAGTGGTGTCACCTGTAAATCAGAATTGTGCAACAACAATATACAAAGAGAGATATTAATCTGTTACTGGGATTATGTAAAGTACATTTTTGCTTAAGTTAAATATGCAATATTATTGATACAGCAAGAAGCACATCAGAGGTGCTCTCTCATTAAAAATATTTTATGGCCCCATTAGGTAGGAGGACTTTATTTCCCCTTTGTTTCATGCTAGAGGGTTAACAGATTTGAACAGTAATAGTGGACATGTATCATCAGCTGTGGCTGGACCATTGTCAGGTTCTGCCTTCCTCTTAATTCCTCCTACAATGGGAAGGTACTGGGTTCTTCCTCTCCCTGACATCCTCTATTCTTTCCTCCCTCCTCCCCACCATTCTCTCTCCTCCACTGCCTCCCCCTTCCCATGCTGTGTCTGCCCCGCCTCCTCCAACTTCTTTGTTCACCCCTGCTTTTCACCATCACTCTCTTCCCCCCACTCTAGTTGCCTTTGAGACGGCGGTAGTGAATTGCTTGTCATTCTTGCACTGAAAGTACACCCACAATGCTGTTAGGGAGGGAATTCCATGATTTTGACCCAGTGACACTGAAGAGATAGTGAAATGTTTCCAAGTCCGGATGGTGTGTGGTTTGGTGGCCCCACCGTCCTCCACCTTCTCTTGCAAGGACAACATAGAAGAGCTCATCAATTCCTTGGTCATGAGGACTGAGACTCTGATCAATTGCTTCCGTAGCTTCTCTCCCCTTCCCTAACACACTAAACCGAATCTCTCCTCTCACTATCCTAAACATATGTCTCTCCCTAGTTTCCATGAGTAACGTGATATAGTATATACAGAAAAGTGTTTGTGCTCTACAACAGCCTCTTCTTGCTCCTCTTAATCAAACCCACATCAAAGTATCTTCCTGTTCCTTGTCCCCCTCCTGTGTGCACATAATACAGCTGTGCTATTCATTTCAACTGCTCCATTTTACTGAATTTCACTTGAGTTTAGAGTTAGTCTGACATCAGTGGTAGGGAAATTATTGGAAAAATTCCTGAATGACAGCATTAATCAATACTTGAAAGACAGGCATTGATCAGGGATTGTCAGCACAGACTTGTTAGTGGGAGAACCTGTCAGACTAATTTAATTGAGTTTTTTTGAAAAGGTGATTAACTGCACTACCCTCATCAAATATTTAATGTGGTTTACTTGACTTCAATAAGGCCTTTGACAAGATCCCACATGGAAAGCTAGTCTAGAAGATAAAAGCCCATGGAATCCAAGGCAAGTTGGCAAATTAGATCCAAAATTGGGTTACAAATAGGCAGCAGATACTGATGATGAAGGCTTGTTTTTGTTATCGGGAGTCTGTGACCAGCCATGTGCCACCGGATTTGGTGTTGGGATCCTTGCCGTTTGTTATTTACATTAATAACTTTTGTGAATTTGGAAGTACAATTAGTAAGTTTGTGGATGACATTAAAATTGGTGGTGTTGTTGATAGTGAGGAGGATGGTGTCAGGCTACAGTCTGGTATTGATCATTTGGTAAGAGCAATGGCAGATGGACTTTAATCTGATACATGCAAGATGATGCATTTTAGGAGATCTAATAAGGGAAGGATATACAGAATGAATCGTAGGTTCCGAGGGAGTATTCAGCAACAAAGGGAACTTGCTGTACAAGCCTTTAGATCTCCAAAGATTTCAGCACAGGTAGACAGGGTGATGAAGAAGGCATACTGGATGCTTGCCTTGATTAGCTGAAGAGCAGAACATTGGAGCAGGGAAGTCTTATTACAACTTCATAGTACATTAGTTGGGCCACAGATGAAATAGTGTGTGCAGTTCTGGTCGCCACACTATCAGAAGAATGTGATTGCATTGGAGAGAGTGCATAGGAGATTCACCAGAATGTTGCCTAGGATGAAACGATGCAGTTATGAGGCTGAGATGCTTTCCTTGGAGCAGAGGAGGCTGAGGGGGTTCTGATTGAGGTTTGGACAGAGTAGATCATGTTAATCTCTTCCTCTATGGCAGATGCATCTAAGACTAGAGGGTACAAGTTTAGTTGGACTGAAGGGTCTGTTTCCAAGCTGCATCTAAGTGAGATTCAAGTGACAGTTTTAGAACCATAATAGTCTGAATAGTTTGAATGATAATTGATTCAAATAATTGTCCAATTCACATTTGAATTATCATTATGTTGTAACAGCCATTTAAATTGTATTTCCTGTGTTCAGTACAGAGCTACATTTCGTAAAAGAAATAATTTTAACATACAGCCTACGAACTAAAACTGGTTTTGTAGAAGATGATGTGAGGCAGAGATTAATTTATAATTGTAAATTTAGTGCACAAAGAGGCAAACAGAGCCACTCAAAATGTTTCTCATAAGCAATTAATTCTACAGTAACACAGTTTCATTCTAATCTGTATGTAGCTTTCACATCCTGAAGCTTATGGTGGTCTGATATTTACCAGTCCCAGAGCTGTTGAGGCTGTGACATTATGTTTGGGTGAAAAGGCTATCAGAGAAGGTAAGTGATGAATAAATTGTGCCAGTAGTTTTTAATAACTTTAAATTGCTTTAAGACAATACCTTCCACAAATCAAGTGAGGTAATACTCAATCAGAGAATGCTCAATTTGCATACTGTTTCAGAACATGCATTCTTGCGTGTGGTTTTACCTTCTTTTGTTAATAGTTTTGACTTCCTGTCAATATGTAACTCATTCCACTCAGCCAACACTCAGCCTACATGAGACAACAGAAAGCATCATGAAAGATACAAAGTACTAACAACTCTACCACCTGCTCAAAGTTATATTTTAGAGAGACATTAGAGAATTTACTCAAGAGACTTGCTATAACACTACCACGCATTGTGGACTTCGGTTATCTAAAGAAAGTGGAAAAGTTGGGTTGTTGTCCTTAGAGCAGATAAGGTCAAAAACTGATTTGATATTGTTGTTCAAAGTTGTTCAGAACTCCTAAAACAGTTTTGCTTTAGATCCTAAATGCTTTTGTGTTTTACTTTTATTTTAAGAAAATGTGGATCCTACAGTTTTATTCCCTATCAGTTTTATTTGAACACCTTCATCACAATAATTGCAGTTCTCCAAGAAAAAGACCTTCTTTGGGGCAACTTGGAGCTTGTGGTCAGCAATGCTCAAATCCTAAACATGATTAGAACTAGAGAATATTAAAGCACAGAGGGAGGCCATACAGTGCATTATGCCTGAGAGAGCTCTTTGAAAGAGATTAGCAGTCGTCCCATGTCTCTATTCTTTCCCATAAGCTTTTCTTTCCCCATCAGGTATTCATCCAGTTCTCCTTAAAGTTACTAATGTGTCTGTTTCCACCACCTTTTCAAGGAACGTATTCTATATCATGACAACTCTCTGCATAAGAAAAAATATCCTCATGGTTTGTAGTTCTTTTCCCATCACCTTAAGTCTGCAACCTCTGGCTACTGACCCTTGTGCCACTGGAAGCAGTTTCTCTTAAGTTACACAAGCAAAACCAGAGATATACAGCATGGAAACAGACCTTTCAGTCCAACTCATCCATGCCGACCAGATATCGTAAATAAATGTAGTCCTATTTGCTTGCATTTGGCCCATATCCCTCTAAACCCTTCCTATTCATGTACCCATCCAGATGCCTTTTATAGAGTTAGACAGATGAATGGAATGTCTAGTTTTCTAAAAACACATCAGATACAACTATCCAGTTTAGAAATTTGATTATCTATTCCAAACATAATGTGTGTTTAAATGGTTTCATGTCAGCTTTCCTCAAATGTTGCTGTACTTAAGGCATGCTTTATTAATAAAATTTAATCAATTCTTTACATTCAGTACTCTACTCAGTCAGTGCAATCACATTTGAAAATGTTTTGACAAATCTGTCAGAAAAAGCAGAAACACAAACAATATACTTTGTTATGGTCCAGTAAGAGGAGTGGTCTGATTCCTTTCCTAGTCCTGACCCCTACTGGGCATAACAAAATTATAATTTAAAAGGAAGCTGATATTGCTAGTTATATATAGAGAAGACTGGAAAATGCTCAGTCTTAGAAACAAGTCATTCAGGCTGCTTTGTTTAACAAATAAAGAACTAGTTTACTGCAAAAAAAACTTACTTGAGCAAAGCTTATTAACAAAAGGTTTAAAATGTACACACACACATACACAAACATTGAAGAAAGTTGTTTCAGAGAAAGCAGGGAAGGGTGAAGGCTGTTGCCCTTCTGACAGGTCCTGTCCAACTATCTGTGTTGAAACCAATATAGTTTTACACCCGTAAACAAAGTCATGGGACCTCTCTCCGGAAGTCTTGTACTCAGTCTCCAGGTAAAGCATCCAGTGTTCTATGCAAATACATTTGTCCTGCTGTAGCAAGTGCTTTTTGTTCGAAAAGTTCATTATACACATGTCCACCTTATGCTAATATAAGTTAATATTTCAAATAAGACTTCTTCATCACAAATTTAATAGATAAGTGGGAACAGGCAATCAGATAAGTAGTGACTGTAAGTTGTTGACATCTACACCTTTGCATGGTGTTGGTCTCCACACTGTCAGCAGAAATCTCTTGCCTACATTTCATCTGATAGTCTCAAAATGTGTGCCTCATTATACAGCAGCAAGTAAGAGACCGCAACAATTTTGCAGTAAACATTTCAAACAGTTGTGAAGAAGGGTCACTGGACTTGAAATGTTAACTGTGTTTTCTTTCCACAAATGTTACCAAGCCTATTGAGTTTCTCCAGCAATTTCTGTTTGTTTTTGTTTCAGATCTCCAGCATTTGCAATTCTCTGTTTTATTAGCTCACGGTGGTATTTTACTATTAAAATTGCTCAGAGTTTGTTATTAGAGAAAGTATTGCAATCATCATAGCCCGGATTACATAATTGTGATCAATGCCATTACTCCTTTGAAATTGACAGCAGCTTCTGGAACATGAACACGTGCAATTAAATGTGAAAATCCAAAAGTGATCTTATGCTCAAAGTGTGCAATAGTGAACCCTGTAAAAATCCTTTATAAAGTTATATTTTATTGAATGTACTGTAACTAGGTTTTTAATGATATAACAAGTTCATAAATTACTGCTAAGTATCCCTGAAAGAGTAATTTTATATTTGGTGAAAAAAGACAGATTTTGTTGCAGCATTCATCTAGACTATTCTAATAGTCTAATTTAAGGGGAAAATCAATAGTTTTCAGCATTGCAGAATCACAATTCATTTGGACAATATTTGCATGAGAATCCTGGGTGTGCAAAGAATTACTCTAACAGCCAATTTACAATTGTTAGTTGGGCTTATAGTGTGGCACACTATAGTACACTGTGTGTACTAGAAGCTCCGTATATTAATACACAGGGCCCTGTTATTTGCAGTCATAAAAAACATGAAACATGCCTTTTTCAAGACTACAAAATAGGTAACAACCGTTTGCTGATTATCCAATCAAAGTTAATCTGCCTGGTTTAAAATTTGAACAAAGCCTAACAGCTAACTGTCAATCATCATTAACTGGTGAAATCTCATTTGGCGATGCCTTTTCCAATCAACCCACTTTGCTAACCAGCTAGGGCTTGGGTAACTTGAGTTCACTCGCTGTTGTTTTTATGTGCGAACAACAACATGCTTCTCTCCTGCAATATAAATGTTGGTATTTCCCCCTTAAATTGGTAAAGTTGTGAATTGACCTGATGAGTGCAATGTAAAAGCCTTTGACAAATGTGTCTTTTTTCAGCAAAACGCAAGTTCTGTCAACTAAAAAACTAATTATAATCTCAAATATCAAATTTATCCATTATAAGAAATTCCACATAATGCTAAAATTAAAAAAAGTTACAACATTTTAGCTTTTATCTTAATCCAATGTACGTATCTAAACCATGTATTTGCTATCTGTAAATTATAAATTGCTTCGCTGCTGACTGCAAAATCTAGCCTGCTATAATCTGGAATAAGGAATGAAGTGTGAAGTACTATAATCTTGCATCTCTGAGTAGGAGAAGAATGATAATTGTTTTTGTGCTTAAAGATTATTATGATTATTACACAATGAAATTATTATGGATCCAACAAGTTGTACGTACTTTATATCTACATAATGCATACATATATTTTGAAGCATATTATTGGTTCTACTATAATAAATATGTTCACTGATTTTTTTTATTTGATTCTATAGATTTAGTAATGATTAGGAAAGCTGTTGACATAAAGATAGAATGTTGTATCAAAAATCTTAATATATTTCATCATGTTTCCAAATCTCCATTTTTATTGATAATAGAGTGGAATAATAACTTCTTAAAAGACAAGTGGAAAGAAAAATCTGTCTATGTTGTCGGAAAATCTACAGCCAAATTGGGTAAGAAAACTTAGTTTTGTGCGTATCGTATATGCATGCGCAATAACAGTCAGAGCAAGTAAGCAAATATTATTAATCAGTACTCTGGTAAATTTACATACTGTGAAAGTGAAGTTTGGGTGCTTATCGTGATCTTGCAAATTGTAATGCCAATTCAGACTACTGCTACATCTTTAAGTGTAATTACCAGGCAAGGACCAAGGTTTATCAAAATGCTAGAGGTCTATTAAGGGACAGTTGGGAAAAAGCAAGATAGTGGAAGGATAGTAGAACAGAAAGCATCAGGGCCTACATTATGCAGGTAAATTGCAACTGAATTTTTTAAAGTATTGCCTTATGCATAAAATGCTTACGTTAGCTGAAAAAGAGCTGATTTTTATATCTAGTGTGTTGAATCACTCAATAACAATATGTTGTCTAGGTCCTAACCTCTGAAATTCACCACCTTATAGAAAAGTCAAGCACCATAGAACAGTATAAGGTGAATGGCAAAATACAAATGGCAACATCAGGCATATCTTCTATACACAACATGTTACGTTTTGGAATGCAATGCCTGATAGTGTAGTGGAGGCAGATCCACTCATGGTTTTCAAAAGGAAATTGAGTAAAAATGAAGAAAAAAGAAATTATGAGGCTATGGAAGAAAGAGAGGAGTGGAACAAGCTGAATTGTTCTTGCAGAAAGCTTGTACAAACACAATGGGCTAATTGGCCTCTTGTACTAGCCATTCTAAACAGCTCCATCTTTTGTTTCCTCCCTTTAAAACAGTTCTTAAAAGTTCCCTATTTGATCAAGCCTTTCTGCCTTAATATCTGCTTGTGTGACTTAAAATCAAGTATTGTTTTATCCCATGAAGTGCCCTTGTGGCATTTTATTACATTAAAGACAATATAGGAGGAACAGGAAGTGCTTCCTCCTCAGTATTGCCTGTACCAAATACCCCAAGACAATATCAAAGAAATTGGCATTTCATAGTGCTTGTTTCTGCCACATTTGTGCTTGCAAAAGTCTTTAACTTGTGTCTCTCCTTTAAGCAGAGTCTTTGATATTCAATATTCACCCCCACCCACAAGCAAGTACTCATTTAGTAATAGCTGCATGCTTGCATGATTAAAATCAACAGGTAGCACAATATTATGTACTTTCTAGTAGAAATGAACTTGATAATAGGCGTGGCTGTATTTTTTCCTTTTCTTACCCAAGGACGTAGTAGTGCCCAATTACAACTTTAGCTGAGATCAGTTAGCTAGGCAGCAACAAGGGATCAAACCTGGACTGAATGGAAGATTGATAACCTGAGGGCACACTTTTCGTGTGATTGCAGAGTAGGCATAAGTGACTTGAATGTACCACTGATGGGGTGATGGATACAGATTCAAAGCAATAAGATAATTTGATAATACTTGATGAAGAAAAGAATGGAGGGATATCAGGAAAGATCAGGGTAGTGAGTTTAGCTGGATTTCTTTATGAAAGATCTGGTGTAAACTCAATGGTCAGAATGAATGGCAGAATCACAGAAGTCTTATGGCACAGAAGGTCAGCATTCAGCCCATTGTGCCTACACTGCCACTTCAAATGAGCATCATTACCTCCTGCTTTTCTCTCCATACCATTGCACATTAGTTTTATTCAAATAATCATCCTCTGCCTTCTTGATGCCTCAGTTGAACCTGCCTCTACCTTCCAGGCAGTGTATTTCAGAACCTAACTACTCGCTGAGTGAAAATATTTTTTCTGATATCACCCAGGCTTCTTTGCAAATCACTTTAAATCTCCCTCTTGTTCTTTATCCTTGTATAAGCGGGAACAGTTTCTCCCTTTCCACTCTATCCAGCCCATTATGATTTTGAAAAACAATATTCACTTAGCTTTCTTCTCCCCAAGGAGAACAGTCCCAAACTCTGCAAAATTATTGAATTTTCTCATCCCTGAATAATTCTTGTAAATCACTTCAGTAGTCTGTCCAAAAGAACTGTGGATTCTGTAAATCAGGAACAAAGACAGAAGTTGCTGGAAAAGCTCAGCAGGTCAGGCAGCATTTATGAAGAAAACATCCGAGTTAACATTTCAGGTCACCAGTCCTGAAATGTTAACTCTGATTTTTTTCTTCACAGATGCTGCCAGACCTGCTGAGCTTTTCGAGCAACTTCTGTTTTAGTTTCTGTACTCTCTCCATTGCATTCACTTTCTTCCTATAATGTGGCACCCAGAATTGCATGCTGTACTTTAGCTGAGGTTTAACAAGTATCCTATACAAATTCAACATTACCTCTTTTTTGTGTTACCCCTATTAATAAAACTGAGGATACTATATGTTTTACTCACTGCTGTCTCGATCTGTCCTGTTATCTTCAATGGCCTGTGCACATATACAGTCAGGTTCATCTGCTTTTCCACCCTTTACCATTCTTTTATATTGTCTTCCAACGTTCTTCCTACCAAATTGCATCATCTCACACTTCATGGGCTCCTTTTGTGTTGTCATGTTGTATGATTCTTCATGATACGTATGACTGAGCATTTAGAGTGAACTTAACCACTGAACTATTAAGGGAACAGCCTTTAATATATAGATCTTGATTTAAGTTAGTTACTTTATTTAGTAAGTAGTAGGCTAGACATAACTGGCAAGAATATCATGGACTCAATTTCTGCCCTTGTATAATGATCATTAATCAAGTCTGGATGGTGGTATGTGCTCTGGGCATTTTAACTGAATCTGCTACCCTTGGATCATGGAACTGAATTATCCTAATCATTATGCAGTGTTTTCTGACCAAGCGCGTATCTGGAAATTAGGTGACAATAGGTTTGGATTGTCTGTTTGCCCCCACAGGTAGCTGTAAATCAGTAACTTATCACTTTTATTACTATTAATGGTCAAGGATCACTAATAATAGAATAGAATAGAATGTCCTTTATTGTCACATATACTCAAGTACAGGAGTACAGTGAAAAATTTTACAATGTCATGTCTTATCGTGCCATCTTAGGTACAAGTACCTAGGTACAAATCTTAGATACAAAAAACGAGGATTAAAAAAGAAAAGTAGTTGCATTACTTTACAGTGATTCATAGTATAAGTTAGAAATAAGACACAGTTAAAAGGATAGGCATTACAGTCAGGTGAACAAATTACAAATGAACATTACATTGCAGTAGCTCAGCGTAGGGACTTCCACATACGGTCTGAGTGCCTCCACCACACCCCAGTCCAACAACTGTCCCTGCACCACTCCACGCTTCTACTATGCTCTGCACAGGCTCTCAGCTGCTCCAAGGTAAGTTTTCTCTGGCACCACTTCCGCACACCAGCCACCGCCCGGGGCTGCTTCCCTGCACCGGCCAGCACTCCGGGACTGCTTACCATCGCCAGTCACTCTGGGATTCAATTCTCCCCGCCAGCCTCCGCTCCGGGATTTGCCCCCAGGAGTCGCCAGCTCCTCCATTCCCTTCCGGGTAAGTCCAAGTGATTAGTTGAAAAAACATGTAGAAAGTAGGAAAGAAAGAGAGGAAAAAAAAGAAAAAGAATGGGCGGAGCAGAAGAGCTCTGGCTGGAGCTTCTTACTCAGCCACCATCTTGCCAACTTTGATGAAATACTTTTTAAACTATAACGCAGCAAAGGACTAAACTGGCTCATGTAAGGAGGTGTAAAGAGGAAACAGGCATCAAAGAAGTGTTGGTGCCTGTGCATCTAAATAATAAAATTAGAATACAGTAGTAGCTGCTTTGCTTAGAACGTTGATTTAAGATCTATAATTGTACTTAAGTATTTAAAAAGTAATTCGGAAATAAAAGAGAAACAAAGCTAAGCATTTAAACCTAGATTGGAAAAAGTGTAATGTTGTCCAGTAGTCACTATTTCCTGGAAGAAAGTTGCCCCAGTGCTTTTGGCTGATGTGTTTGCAGATTTATGGCATTTTAGTTATTTCATTTCTATCATGCTGATTGATGTGTAACAGCAGCCGTTAAAAAAAAATATCTTTTTAATTTTTTTTAATAGTCAAAGAAATTGGTCTTGTAACACAAGGAGAGGACTCAGGAAATGCAGAAAAACTAGCTGAGCACATCTGTAACAGTAAGTGAACAATCATCTTCAGAATTTGTGAAATTTTAGAAAACACTTAAATTCAGTTCATACATATTATTCATGTAGCCAATATTATAGCGAACTTAACAATTAATAATTAGATACTGACCTTAATCACACAATGTCTTAACTTGGATCTGTATCGGCGTTGTTTCTCAGAATCTGCACCAAAACCCGGATCGTCTTTCCGAACAACTGTGGGTGTATCTACACCAGATAATCTGTAACAGGTCTAGAAGCCCACAGCGACTTTCTCAAATGTTAATAGAGACCGGAAATAAATGCTAAATTTGTTCATACTCCACGAAAGAATAAAATAAAACTTATTATCTAGGAAAGAGAGAAAATAAGTATACTGGGCTACTTCATTTCTTTTTAATTAAAGCATGGCAGACACATTCTATTGTTTAATAGTAAACAGAAATGCTTATTTTGTTAGGAACAGTATGTAATTTTTAAGTTTCATTTATCTTTTGTAATTTTGTGTTAATAACAGGAAGACATTTTTAGATTTTTTTGTGAGCTTGGTGCTAGAAAGTTTGGACACCTGTTTGTATATATACATTTTTAATGAGTCTTTACAACAATTGGGGGAAAAAATCAGTAAATCAATCAGTTAGGCTTTGCCAGAGAATGGAAGCAGGATTAATTAATCCTACATAACGACTGAAAACTGAATTTAGGGAACTACTATGTTTGCTCTGAAGTCAAAGTAATAGTAAGTTTTGTTAGTAAACATTTTATTATTTGCATAAAAGATACATTTGCAAACTCTTGAGAAAATATTCAGAATTGACCTCCATGCTTTGAAAAAAAACATAGTCAGGGATTTATCAAGCCAGGTTTCACTTTGGGATCTGACTTGTCCAGTGTTAATATCAGTTGAAATTGGACAATGTATGTGATGTACACACGATGACTTCATGAAATATATATTCCATGACGGATAACACGAGTTTTTGGGAAGACACAAACTGAAACTTGTGTGGACTTGTTGGGCCGAATGACCTGTTTCCACACTGTAGGGATTCTATGATTCTATGAAATCTTGAGATTTGAACTGGCAATTATGCAGCAATGTTACTTTATGTGACTTCATTATCATCCATTGTGTAGAATGTTCAGCCTAGAAACAGGCCATTCATGTTGGCAGAGATAGCAGGAACTGCTGATGCTGGAGAATCTGAGATAACAAGGTGTAGAGCTGGATGAACACAGCAGGCCAAGCAGCATCAGAGGAGCAGGAAGGCTGACGTTTCGGGC